CCAGAGGAAAACAGATTGTCTCTACTCTCACATGGGGGGAAATGGAGGGAACCCTGTGCCTTTTGATAATAAAACAATTTTTCCCTATACCCTAAGTAGAGAGAGAACCTGGGGTGGGTTAGCCATCTCCAGGATATTGACCCTGAATTCCTTGCCTCTGCATTGCTAGGAAGTGCCAGGCTCTATCCTCTAAAAGGGCCTGAAGAATCCAGGTATTCAGCCACAGCTTCACCTACAATAAGAGAGCTTTGTTCCATGGAAACACTTTTTCAAAGAGCATTTTTACATCCTGTTATGGTTTGGATCTGTGATGTCCCCTCAGTGCTCATATGGCAAAGGAAATTTAATGGTAGCACAACATGTGGCATGGATATTTCTGGCTGCAGGTAGCTAGGTTTACATTTAAAATCAGAACAAAGAAGTAGAGCAAAAAGATTATAAAAACCTACAGCTTGGCCAGAAAAATCACTTGTGAAATTGAGGTTAATGAAGCTCTGAAGATATTAGTGCCATTACAAAGAATCCAAGCACTTTGTACCCTTGTGCCTTGAAGGCATCTTGGGTATTAACAAGATCCTAACCTTAGCAGGCTCAAGAGTGTACAGGTGAAAATTTGTTCAAAAACTTTCCTTTGAGAAGAGAGCACTGTTACCACAGGGCTACCTGTTAAAAAAAGTTGTTTCCACAGGGTACAGTACACTGTGCTCCACTTTGTAGGCTGCATCTGTGGCCTAAGTGAGCCACACAACTGCTCAAATTGCTGCAGAATTTGGCATCATCCATTTGGTGCTGGTTTTTCAGGCATGAAGAATATAAGAGTTACAGGGACGTGGAGGCTTCTACCAAGATTTCAGATGAAATCCTGGGAAGCAAAACATGTATGACAGGGCTGGTATCTCTGTGGACAGCCCATGAGAAAGGAATGAATGAGGCTTTGACAGTAAAATCAAAACTGAAGTGGACACCCCAGGAAGTTAGAGGTGCCAAGAATGTGGAATGTTTGCTGAGGAAACCTATAAGAATTGATCAGAGTCAGCCCAAAAGAAGTCATGTGGGCTGCAACTGGAAAGGTAATAGAGACAGGAATGCCTAAACCCTAGGATCTCACAGTGCACCACCATGTTCCCCACATGCCATCATATGGAGCTACCAGATTTAAAGTTTGCCCTCCTGGGTTTCAGTCTTTCTTTGATACAATCCTTCCTTTATATCCCCTCTTTCCTCCCTTTTTGGACTAAGAATTTTACCTGCCCCCCCATTTTATTTTAAACACATGTAATTTGTTATTTTTTAATTTTTGCAGCCAACAGCAGCCTTGGGTCTCAGAAAAGACTTTATACTTGGACTTTTAAGAAATTCTGGAACTTCTAAGACTATGGAGATTCTTGAGGATTGACTGATTCCATTGTGCATTGTGAGATGGCCATGATCTTTTGGGGAACAGGGAGAAAACAGGATGGTTTGGAGCTGATGAGGCCACCCCAAAGGCTCATATATTGAAGACTTCATACCAAATACAGAAATACAGCATTGTTGAGAGATGGAGTTTTGTAGAAGTGATTAAATCATGGGGACTCTAACTTCATGAGTGGATGAATCTTTTGATAGATCCATAATTTGAATGAGTTACTCAGAGTTGTTAGAAATGGTAGGAACTGGAACCTTGATGAATGGCATGGGTCTTTGGGACTCTTAAGAACTATACCTTGTCCCCAACCTCTTCTCTCAACCCCCTTCCCTTTTCTCTCCTTCCTAGCAGCCATGAATTGAGCAGATTTCCTCCACCATGCCTTTCCACCATGGCCCAAAGAAACTGAACAAGCGAACCATTTTGTAATCTCTGAAATTGTGAGCCATAATGAATCTTTCTTTTTTATGTTGTTTTTCTAAAATATTTTGTCACAGTGATGAAAAGTTAACTAACAATGATACTATTTCCCTGGGATGTAAATACGAACCTGAAGCTGGATATGGTAGTGCACGCCAGTAATACCAGAAGCTTTGGTAGCTGAGGCATGAAGATCACAGGTACAAGCCAGCCTAAGCAAGTTAGCAGATCCCTAAGCAAGTTAGTGAGATCCTGTCTCAATATAAAACACTTCAAAATGGCTTGAGATTTTTCTCTGTGGTTAAGAGTCCCTGGGTTTGATCCCTAGTGCCAAAAAATAAAATAAAATAAAAAATAATGTAAGTAGGAAAAAACATTACTAAGGAATATTGCATAATGGTCTATAGTACAATGGAATACCATGAACCCCTATAAGGAAGCAAATCCTGTACCAGCTACCACACAGATTAAGTTTAAAGATGGACTATACATTTAAAAATGGTTTTTATAATACATTTTATGTATTTTTCCACAAGGAACAAATAGATGGAATTGTTATATACTAACATTAAATAAAAATTAAAATTAAAAACATAATAAAAACTTTATTTGTAATAACCAAAAAACACATATTTATATATACATTCAAAAAATTATATCCGAGATTGTTCTGTAGAAAGATTTAGAAGGTATACAATAAATTTAAAAAGATAAATGGAGAGACATACTCTATTCATGGATTAGAAAATCATTAGATTTATGTGAATTTCTCTATAAAGACTATTGAAAATTTATATATATAAAGAATCTTTTAAAATTTATGCAAAAAGAAAATGAATGAGAATATCTAAAAATGGGGAGGGAATAATAAAATGGGAGGAGTCAGTATTTGCACTATCAAGATATTTACAGCTATGATAATGCAGACCATCTGGCTTAAGTGAAGGGACTGGCATGTGAGTGGATGGAACAGAACAGAGAGCACAGAAACAGACTTACACAAACGGTCAACTGAGTTTTTATTAAGGTGCAAAAGCAGTTCAGTGGAGAAAAGCCTGCCTAGAGATAGTGATGCAATTAGACATCCATGAGCAAAGAAAGCAACTGAAACTTACCTGAGTTTCACTCCCTACTCAAAAATTAAATGAAAATGCAACCTGGTTTCAAGAATAAAATGTAAAACCACAAAACTTTTAAAATATAATTTAAGAGAAAATCTTTCGGATCTAGGACTGGGCAGAGAAGTATTTGATGACACCAAAAGCATGATCTTATTATAAAGGTAAAAATCGGTAAATTAGACTGAAACATAATTTGAAAAACTGTTTCTCTAGAAAATTACATGTAAATAAGATGGAAAGACAAGCATCATACTGAGAGAAAATATTTGCAAAAGAAATATCTGATAAAGTTATATTTAGAATATATATAAATTTCTCAAAATTCAACACTAAAAATATCCAATTAGAAAAATTGGCAATAGTCATTAACAGATAATTCAATAGATAGGATACATAAATGTCAAATAAGCATATGAAAAATGTTCAAGAAAACTAGCCATTAAAGATACAATTTAAAACTATGATACAATATCATTATCTTTTATTCAAGTAGATAAAATGAAAAATACCAACTACTAAATGTAAGAGTATATGCAAAAATTACATCTCTCATGTGTTGCTGGTGACAGTGTTAAGTTCCTTGTTTTAATACTGTACTATTGTTTTACAACATGTAAATTTTGAGTGAAATTGGGTGAAGAGTATGTGGGTCACCTCTAGTTCTGCAACTACCTAAAATATATAATCATATCAGAGTGAAATTGTATTTAAAAGCAGTATGCATCTTTGTTTTTATAAAAAAATGTATTGTAAATATAGCCACCAAAATTTGCATAGGAAAAGGATGGAAAGAGATACAAAGATAAAACATTACACATAATAAAATTGGTATAACTACATTCATATAAGAAAAAGTAGACCCCAATACAAAGGCTATGACAATTAAACAAGGACTTTTCAAGATGATAAAATGTAAAATTTGTGAAGAAAACAAAACCACCATAAATACTCGTGCAAATAATGGGAGAGCATCAAAATCCATGAAGCCTGGATGATACAAAGTGGAAAAAAGACAAAGCTGCTATCTTAAGGGGAATGTTTTAATATTCCTGTCTTAGTAATTGATCAAACATGTAGACAACACTTCAGGAGGTATGACATACTGGGTAGATGTTCAGTAAAGGGCATAAGAGAATGTGAAAGTGGACTAGTTTATATGAGAATGAAGGAAAGAAGAGGAGGTAAAGAAAGAAATGCTGAAAAGGAGGACCCAGGAGCAGGCAGGCACACCATCAATCCAATAAGGACTGGAGTGTCAGAGGGAGGAGAGCTGAATTGTAAATGGGAAATGAACATATAACTTTTTTTTTAAATCTCTGATCCCACCATGTACCAGGGAAGTGCAATATATTCCCAGGTGAAACTGGTAAAAATTATCTGAGATATTAATCAAGGAGAGAAAGACAGTCTTCATAAACTTACACTGTCATCAAGAGAGCTATGGACAGGCTTCACTTATAACCCAAAAATGAAGGGGGTGGAAAGTTAAGCCTATAGGATCAACACTCACATCCTTGTGATGTCCAACTCACCTTTGTTCATTCCTCAAAGTCTTTTAAACTTTCTAATCCTCTTCCTTTTTCTTCTTACAGTTAAGGACATCTTGAATCCTTGCAGCCACAACATGCTAGTGCTGTGACACTGGAAAACTAGATCTTATCAACAAAGGTCATCTTTTCTTGGTTCCACTGGGTAATGGATTTGACCTAAAACCTTGCCTTTCACTAATGCTAGCAACTGGGTGGAACCTGACATTGAGCCAAATCCCTGAGTTAAAAAAAAAAAAAATTGCTTTTCTGTATCAGTCTTGAGAACAGAAAGAAATCTGATATCAAAAGACCCCTCTTTTATGTAAGAAGATAATTAAGATTCAGCAGCTAATTGATGTTTTAACTTCAGAAAGTTTCCTTTTCCTATAGTCTCTGAGGGCAGGGAAGACATTAAAACACAGTTTCTATTGGCTCTCAGAAGATGGCCATGTCAGTGGCTGGCGCTATATAATCCCCTTCCTGTGGTAGGAGCCCCATCAAAAGCTGGGAGGGCTCCCTAGATCATCTGGAGAAGCCAATGCTGTGACTAGAGGACACAATGCACAGAAAGACCATGCAGCGACATTGCCTTCTCCAAGGACTTGCTTTTCTCCTCCTTATTGTCATAGTGGATACTCAAGGTAAGCATAGCCTCACTTCTTAAGACCAGGGAGATGCTGGATTAGCTCTAAGGATCTGGGAAATAATCATTAGGATCCTAAAGACAATGCCTCTTTATAGATCATAATTTGTTATGACCCACTATCATCTGAAGTGACAGTAAATGCTTATCTTTTTTTCTGTGGAGTCTCAGTTATTGAAGAACAATAATGGGATGTTGCAAAGATAAAAACTTTTTTCCCAGATCAACCAGAGACTATATTTTGGATTTACACAATGACATCTAAAAACTCACTTCCCAGGTTTCCTATAACAGTTAGATGTAAGAGATGACCTCAGCTGGCCCTCTTCTCTGTTCCTACTGTACTCTATAGTATGCTTACTCACTGCATTAGCATTTTTGCCCTTTTAGCCAGTGAACTGGTGTGTTTGTGTGTGTGTGTGAGAGAGAGAGAGAAGGAAGAAGATAGAAGGGCCATAGATTGTGATGTACCTAACGGGAAAAAGGGGAGAAGAAACTGAAAGAAAAATACAGGAGAAGAGAGGAGAGAAAGATGAGAGAAAAAGGAGGAAAGATTGAAATGGAGACAGATACGGGGAGGGGGTGCAGAGAGGTGAGGTGATAAAGTAGAGCAACTAGTGGGTGAAGGAACTTTGAAGTAAAAGTGTGAGCAGGAGCATGTCTGCCCACTGGAAGTCAGCTGTTTAGACAGGAGTCCATAGAAATCACTCTGAGCCATGGTGCTGGATTTGATAGTGAGGACAGTGTTGGTGACGATATATATGTATGTTCACATGACAAGGGCAGATATAAACCTTGGTGCCTATAAAGAAAGCCCCCAACACAGACAACATGAACTGCAATTATACCACAGATAAACCTGCACCTGCAGTCTGAGCCTGACATGTGATTCTTTCTCTTCATCAAAAACCCACAGCTCAGACATTTTCTGCCTCACTATAGTGTTTCCCCTACCCAGGGTTCTTGGCAGACCTTTGTCTTTCTGCAGGTGTTTTTTTCTCCATATCACTAGGATTGATGGTCTTCTGATCCCTTTGTGCAGAAAAAAATCTATACCAGATGCAGAAGGTCATGGCTGAATTGATGTTAGCACTGTAGGAAGAGCAGGGATCTGGCCTTAGAGACTTCAGGATGAGCCTCTCGTGGTCCAATTTTTCTTTCCCTGTGGGTACTCAAACTTCTTCTCTCACATGCCAAGAAACTACTGCTTAGAAGAAACCTGTGCTTGTGAAAGTATTCCAGGTGACTTTTTTTCCCTTGTGGTTTCCTCAGACCTTACATGAAATGTGGTGCACACTGGACGTGTGGCTCAGTGCAGTTAGGTTCCCAGCATTTGAGCTCCTGAAAAGGGGTGATCTAGCCACACCCCTGGAGAGCCAGCTTTTCTAGTTACAGGTCCTGCTTGCTTCAACAATGTTCCTCACTTCTCTGTCTCCACTCATTTTTTCTTCTCTCTTCTAAACTCTCTGTTCAGAAGTCTCTTTCCTTCTTCTTTGAGAAACTCTACCCCTCCCAACAAGAACAAGATGTTCTGCTCCTCACTCCCTTAGTATATGTCTAGAAACATCCAGTTCTTTGGATTCTAGCCAAAGACCCATGATGGTGTCCTGTCTCCAAAACTGTCTGGCTCTTAGGGGTGGGGATGGACTCTCAAAATGAAATGTGAAATTATGTTCTGATTCCAGTTTGGTCTCTATTGGCAAGATCAGTGAATGAATTTCTTATCAGGCAGAGAAGAAATTATACCCCCTTCAAGCAAACATAATTTTTCCTCAAAGAGAACATTATCCTCAGAGGATCAAAATATCAAAACACATGTTCACATATTAAAGCACTTGGTTCAAATGAATTTGCCCCATCTTCTTGCAAAATTTCAATCTTGGAATTATGCTGCCAGAGCATTAAAAATTCCTTAATCCTATGACATGTCACAAGAGCCTTTACTGCCAGTAGTCCAGATGACCACAGCAGCCTGCCAGATCACACTGTACCCTTTCTGTGGCACAGATTTTGTGGGTGTATCCATGATAGTTCCCACATTGCCCCTCAATACAGTTCCAAGGCATTTCACACTCAGAAGTGCTCCCTCAGAATTCATCTGAGAACTACCCAATTTCTCCTGCTGTTTTATATCTTATACATCAAGGCCATACTGCTGTCAGGACCTGTTTCCTAGTTGTCCTGTGGAGTATTTCCTCTGTATACTGGAGGGTTCCCTAGAGTACCTAGTACACTGCATTGCTAGATGTAATCATTCATTGTGCCTTAACAGGCACCAGTGCTACAACAGAGGGCACACTTCTCAGTGACACAGCACAGTGGGAGAGGTAGATAACTAAACCAGTTCTAATGATAAACTATGATATATACAATAATTAAGAAAGTGAAGGCTGCTGTGGGAACACAATAGGGAGTCAGCTAACTTACTCAGAATTGGTTAGGGAAGGCTTCCTGAAAGAAATAGAAATACAAAGGGACACAGTACACTTTGGAATTGAAAATGTTTTTAGATATAAAACTATATATATATATATATATATATATATATATATATATATATATATATACCTACAACACCTTCTATTATAATGCTATAATAGAAGTCTCCACATGTGTGTAAACACACACATTTATTACTATAATCATAATTTTTATATTATTAATTTTTCTATTTGTGGCAAATGATAACCAATAAGTAGGTAAAGAAATATATATGTTCCACTGTTCTTAGAGTTCTGTTAACTTCTCCTAGATTCAAAGTTTATAATTTTTATCATAAAACGACATTTGTGACTAGTAAAGTCTCAAGAAGATTATATAACTGAGGCAGTTTTTAGCATAAGAATAGAGGGTTTGATCTCTGAAATCTGATGGCCTGGCTTTGAGTCTTCATTTTATTTTTTTATTAAAGTGTTAAAATATGAAAGAGTTCCAAGTCTCAAGCTCTAGGAATTTTTGTGAAGTGAATACATGTAAACAACACAGAAATCAAGAAATAGAATATTAACAAGTAGAAGATAACTTCATGCCTTCTTTCATGCAAGGTTAACCATTTCTCTGACTTTCAATACCACACATTAATTGGCCTACATGGATGCATCCATAGAGTATGTGACACCTTGTTCCTCATTTTGTTTGTTCAACAAAATGTTGAAATGTAGGTGAGAGGATACAAAATAGCAGATATATAACATGAACATGCCTAGAGCTCTAACACACAACAGGAGGACTATAGATAATGAAATTGTGCTCTTTAAGTGATTCATGCTAAATGAGTAGATTTTAGTTGCTCTTGCCAAAGGGGGGGGGAGCAAAACTAAATCTGGGTAAGTATGTGGTTTGTTGGTTATGATATTTTGCTTCACAATAGTAAATATATATATGTGTGTGTATACTTATCTATATGCATATGTATAATTTACCATGGAATCATTTAGTATACATTAAATATTTACAATAACATTTATTTAAAATACTTTATTCATTTTATTACATAATCACTTTTCATTGTGTGGATATATCTCAATTTCTTTATCCATTAACTTATTATGGAAGAGCTGAGTGACATCCTAGTTTCGTTATTATAAATAAAAATGTTAAGAACTTTCATGCCATACCTTTCATAGCTTTGGAATATTATTGAAATTGTCACATCTTATTGTCAGTTTATTTCTTTTAAAGTAACAGCTGGAGGTTCCCAAAGTTAATACTACCATTTCCATTACTACAAATCCTCTCTAATATTTGCTATTTAATCTTTTACAAATTTTTGTGAATAAGTTTAATTCTCTTTGGATCTAACTTACTCTCCCCCAGTTACTAATAGTTTTCAGTACCTTTAGTGTGTTCATTGGTTGTTCTTATTTTTCGTTTAGGAAGGGAGGCATAACATGAGAGTTTGATTCTAGGCTCCTGTTATGTTCAGTGACCTGTATGATTATCCTTAGGCCAGTACCATACTGTTTCAATATGGTAGACTTATAGTACATATTGAAATAAGTGGTCTGATGTACTTCTTTCAAAAACGATTATTAACCTTTATGATTTTGTTGCTACAATAAGAAGATTTAATATTTATATTTTACTCATTTCTTATAGCTTTATGCGTACTAGTAGATATTTGTAGATTCTTATTTTCTCATGCACAATTATATTGTCTGAGAACAAACACAGTTTTACTTCATATTTCATAAGCTATATACCTTTTACTTCTTTTTCTTGCCTTTTCTGGGGCCTCCAATACAAAAATGGAATTTTTAAGAGAGACTGTTATTGTAGTTTAATGAGATTATCTTTTATTCCTATTTCCCTGGGAATTTTTATTATAAAGGGATATTAATTTTTTTATTATTTATTTTTTAGCTTTAGGTGGACACAATATCTTTATTTTGTTTATATGTGGTGCTGAGAATCAAACCCAGTGCCTCACGCAGGCTAGGCGAGCATGCTACCACCTGAGCCACATCCTCCGCCCCTTAAATTTTACCAAATGTTTTCTCTCCATCTAGTGTAACAATCATGCATTTTTATCATACTGATATAGTGAATTACTTTAATTTGCTTTTTTAAAAATAGCCAACATTGCATTCTGGGGTAAACCCCATTTGGTCCTGGTGCATTCTGCTGTTTATATATTGTTGAGTATGACTTGCTGTGTTTTGATAAAGATTCTTGTGTCTATATTTTTTAAGAATATTGCTTTGTGCTTCATTTATTTTCTTCTAATGCCTTGATTTTGACATTATATCTTACTGACATAATAAAATAAATTATAAAGTGCTTCCTTTTATTTTCTGAAATGCAAAACAAAATTGAGAACTCATAATTTTTCTATGAGGAAATCACCATAATTTACCACTAAAGGCTTCTAGTCCTGGAGGTCTTTTGTAGGAAGGTTTTAAATAATAATTCAATTTGGTTATAGTTAGTATGATAGTGATTTTTAATGGACATATAAAAACATAAAATATACACGTAATTATGGGATACCAGGTGATC